AAAGGTATTATTGATGAAGAAAAACGTCGTGAAATAAAATATACAACCATATTTATAATGACAGATGATAAAATAGTAATGAATTCTATTCAAGAATATTCTAAAGTTGGTTTAACAACTTCAGATACAGATGAATCATATGCACGTCATCATTTATATGGTCGAGATATTATATATAATGTTTTTGCTCCACAATCTTGTTTAGATCCATTTAGTCGTATTGATTTTGATCAATTTCTAGTCAATATACAATTTATTAGAAGTCATGCATCATTTGTTGTTGGTCACACAGATTCGAATGTTGCAAGATATTTAGAAGAAATTATTTATGTTGATCGACAACATGAAAAAAATGTACAAACGCGTACATATGTTATCAATGCACCTGATGCACTTGATTAGAAAGTTAATTTTTTTTTTGTTTAATAATATAGTTATGAATTATATTTCAATAATTTGTTAACTCATAAACACTTTGAACGTAACAAAAGCTTGTTCAGATTCGAACTTATTCGTTTATCTATGATTGAATTGAAGAATGAAATATAAAGATGGCAAAATTTTCTTTAATCATCAAGGCTGTTTAGATTTATATTTCTAAAAAATAATATCATCTAAATCGTTGTGGAAAAGCTACAACGTCATGATCAAGATTTTTACAACTGAAAAATCGATAAAATTTGTCATATTCACTAGTCCAAAAGTCAACGGAACCAACACTAAATGATTTTTAATTTTGCGCATTTCTATTTATAAAATATTTTAAAATATGTAGTCTTATCTCTTTTCGATTAAATATTTATTCAAAAAAGTTCTTACACACAAAAAATTATTTCCATTAATAAGTGTCTTTATTTTAAACTGAATTATAGCTCTCAGCGCCTTTGCCTGATACTCGACGAAATACATAAACTGCACCATCTTTAGCATAACCAGGTAGAGCAACCCAGAATGTACGATGTGGAATAAGTTCTGCACCTGATTTTTGTTGACGAAATTTATAGTACGAAGCAAAACCGGCGAAATAAACAATAGCAAGGACAAGAAGGATTATAACAAAGGCACCACCTCCACCAAGACCACCACCGCCACCTCCTGGTGATTTTGTAGTTGGTTCCGGTGGTGTATCTATATTAAAGATATTTTAAATAAACAATTATTTTCACAATTAACTTACGTCCACAACCATCATAACATGCACATTTATGTGATAACCGAAATTTGTAGTTATTTATTGGTGATTCACCCATAGCGTCAAAGTCTTCACTTCCATCGGTTGAACATACTAATGTAACGGTCACTAATTTTGCACCTTCGGTATACGTAATTGAAGGAATACTACCTAAGCCAGCTCCTGGATTCCATTTGACACTATCTTGTTTTCCAAGGCTAAAACTAAGTTTTCCGTCCGCGGAGACTAGATAATTTACAAAATAAAATGAACGAATGAATTACATTGAGTTACTAACCTTGACAAGCTGCAACACCTATACAATTAGGTAGCTCTGTGAATGGCTTGCAAGGATTGTAACTATACTCTATAGTTTATAAATATCAATTAATAAATATTAAGATAAGATGGAAACTAATTTACTGTAATCAGCCGATGCTGGTGGTGTTTTATCTGCATACGCTGGTTTACCATCCGTTCGACCAACACTTGTTAAATCAATAACACCTTTTGAAGTTTCGTATCTGCAAGGATCATCAGCAATAACTGATGATGTTAAAAGAGCAGAGCTAATAGTGATAATAGTTAACCAAAATCTCAGTGTCATCATAGAAAGTTGTTTTTAAATAAAATGAAAGTAAAAAAAAAGACAAAGAAGATACTTTTCATCATTAGTTATCTTTTGTTTAGTCATGTTATTTACTGAAGTACTTCAACAAATCTTTCTATATAACTATATTACATTGTCATTCTTTTTACATTACTAAACAATGATAACTATATTGTTCTTTGTTCTTGTTCTTCATATAGAATTTACACAACATGCATCCGTTGATAGTTTAACTAAAAGTAAAGATTGTATCTATAATGATGGAAGATTTGGTATAATTAATTTATCTCATGTTGGTTTAAAACAAGGCATACCTGCTTTTCGACATATTCGTAAAGATGATTATGTTTATTCGTGAGATTTTTCCTTTTTTAATTTATCTATTTAATATAATCTAATTATAAATAGATTCAATCCATGTTATGCATTTTCTGAAGAACCTACATGTATTAACGTAGCTATATGTCAAAGTTATTAGTGTTTTTCTTGAGTAGAATTTTTTTCTAACTGAAAAATTTATTTTTGTAGCAGCCAAGGATGAATCAGCTTCTTATATTCTTGCTTACAATTCTATTGTAACATGGTCAATAAGTATAGATGGAAAAGTTACACTAGTTTATGCTACAACTGAACGACAATCAATTGTTAATCTTGTTTGTTCAGACGAAATTGATCAACTTATTATTAATGAAGAATATGAACGAAATCATTATAATTTCACTTTAACTAGTAAATGTGCTTGTTGGGATAAATGTTAAATAAACTTTTGATTGTTTATCTTTTATTTCATCAATAACAATAACAAATAGAAAATATCTGAACAAAAAAAAATAATACTAGAATGAAATCATACGAAATAAATATCTGTTCAAATAATAGCAAAAAAAGAAAATAAAGAAATAAACACCGGAAAAAAATAAGTAGCTCGATTGTTCATGGAAAAAAAGAAAGATCAATTGATTTGAAATAGTATAGAATGAAAGTTAAATAATATCTGAACGAAAGCAACATATAGGTAGAGAATCCTGAGAGAAACGTTTATGCTACTATTGGTTGATTTTTATTAACGTCTTCACATGCATCAATCCATGCATTGTATACATCAATTGCTTCACTTAAATCTAAATATAAAAATAGAATCTCAATGCAATGAACTCATTTGCTAAATTTAGAAAAAAAAATAGTCGATTTCAATGATCGTACATTCAGTCAGTAATTAGATAATCGGTACTTTGTTATTTATATAAG